GCAGGTAAGTGAGTAGGCAGGTAAGTTAGGTAGGTGGGTGGTGTTGGGAATAGCCTTCAAGTCGACGGTTGGCTCATCTTTTATAAGGCATACTATACCCCCGATTTAGAACATCAGCCAGACGCCGATTTAGAACAGTTTAGAACGCGGAGGTGCCACACGGACTTATCCCCGGCGAACTACCCGCAGTTAGCACGTCCGACGCCGTCAAATCTCAGCATTTCAACCTTTCACTGGAGCTGCCCTGACCGATAATATGATTATTCGGCGCTGCGACCAAGAAATATGGCCGGCGCAAAGAAGGGCGTTCAAGCCCTCGCTGCACCGGGTCAACCAAGACAAGGAGGACGAACAAGAACGCATAGCCACAAGCTCCGTTCGCCGCCATTAACATTTGGACAGTCCGAGGAGGTCTTGAACAACAGAAACTAATTTTGCAAAGCGGCCAAACCAAAAGCGGTAACAAAAAGCCCTCTAATCCTGCGCGAGATTTCCGTTAGGAGAGTGAGCGCGGTAAATAAGACATACCTAAAGCGACAAGGTCGACTACGCCGTAACCACTTGGAGCCCGTCTCGATTCGGCCCGTCCTCCAAAATACACCATTTGAAATTTTCCCTGTCCGCAATTGTTGACCGAGTAAAACACACATACCCCGTAACGGGGTGCCAGTAAACCGTTTCTCATAGGTCCGGAAAATTCGCGGCGGGGAGACCAACACCTGATTATCCAGAGATCGCACAAGAGGCAGGATATCTGTCTGTTGCATGAGAGATAGTCGCCAAAGACCGTAATCCCGACTTACTGGAACGGATGCAAACAGGAAGACTTGATGAAAGCGCGGATCCTTTTCTCGTTAGACGTAGTAACGAACTGTCAGTTCTCGTTGACAAAGGTGAGAGTTCGTTCGAGATGCTGATGGAACGGCTGATCTCGTCCGAGTTCATTCGCGCAGGCTAGGTAACTGTTGAGCAGGTTTGAGACGTTTAATCCGAGCGACCTTCACTGGGATAGATTTGACATTCTGAGAGAAATATGCTTCTTGTCCTCGGTAGGGCGACATGTTGTTTGAGACCCTGGCCATCTCAGTATCGAGTCGAAGCTTTGATTGGCGGCCATCCTCACACAACAGAAAACAGACACGGCTTTCGCATCTTCGGTGTGACCGAGAAATGCACGCGAGGAGTTGCTCCCAGGGGCCAAAGCTAATGATGACCTCGACTGATATCTTCAAGTGGAACAATGCCGCAAACACGCACCCTCTGGTGTCCATGATCCTCCTAAGGAAAGATGGACGGTCTCTGGGGACATATGTATGGCTCAACGGCGAGTTCCGAGCTCAACAAAATTTTGGAGTTCAACTATCCAGCGCTAGATTGCGTTGATTTTCGCAACGCTTGGCTGGCTACTCCTGTTTTGGAGGTCGTAAAAAAACAACGCTGAGTGTTATTTCTCCACGACATGTTAAATGCCCGATCCAGGACATAGCTCATTCTAAGCCGAGATGTGAACTTCACTAAGAAACTCTTTTCAAGTTCGAAACATCACCGTAATAAGCGCGAGTCACCGCTGATCCCGAAAGAGCTTTTGAGGTGCACAGATCTTGATACACAACCTATTTTCACTCGATCGGTGCGCCCGGGCCAGGCGAGGGATGAAACGATATGGCGGTATCTAAAGATACGACTTGGATTCTACTGCTAGCGCGTATCAGCCATTCGGGATACCGAAGACAGGCGCTAACTCGTACTCGCCTTGTTGCACAATGATGGGCTCGGCTCCCATCGCCTCGACTGACGGCTGTCTCGTTCATAGCTATAATTTCCCACTGCCTCTGAATCGGCGGCAAAGTGGCGGCGTCACTGATGTCGTCTCCCGCGGCCCGCCGCGTCATGAGAAGCCTGACTTCGAGTCGAGTAGCGCCAAGAGTGACGAACATCATAGCTCACGCCCACAGCCCAATGGCCGATGGAGGATGGGCCACAGTGAACAAAAATATGCCGCCATGGAAATGAGGGACATTGTTGGAGAGTGGTGCGCACGAAGCTTGAAAAGGCGTAGACTGCAAGCTGGGGTTGTCGGCGGAAGGTTTCTGATCATTGTATGCACATGGGACCAAGTCAGAGGATGGAGTTTGCGGAGAGCGGCGTCCAAGACAAGAGTCCGCGCATCTCACCGTCCGATCGGCGTATGTAGCGGGTTTCCAAGGCCGCCTTGCGGGGGGTTCACCGGGTTTTCGCGGAGTGCCGACCTCGGATAAAGCACATGTGGGGCAGCCGCCAGCGGAGAATACTGTTGTAGATGGAGGCATGTTATCTTTTCGACGGGGCTCCCGGGCTGCAGATAGTCCCAAGGGTTGAATCAACATGGTGGAAGGAAAGAAACCTTATGAAGTGATGCGCTGACCAAGCGCTGCCACGGCGGACTTGCGGCCTGAACCGGGTTTCGTTTGTCCCGAACCGTCATGTCCGACCCGTCGAAATGGCCAGGCTTGTCCCCTGCCATTCAATCGCGCACCTTGCCGGTCAACGACCTCGACTACCATATCTTGGAGGCGTTCCCCAAGAACTCAACTGGCACTTCAGCCCCCCTTGTTATCCTGTTGCACGGTTTCCCTGAAATCGCGTAGTGAGTATGATGTACACACTGGGTATACCAGACGGTCTGGTTTACGAGCCCGTTGAAGCTCCTGGCGAAAAGTCATTGGCCCGCTGGCCGATGCAGGATACCACGTCGTTGCACCCGATTCACGAGGCTACGGACGCACCAAAAATTCACACACTGACACGGGCGTCAAGTATGAAGACGATCTGAACCCATTCCGCATGACGAACCTGGTGAAAGACGTCCTGGCACTCGTATACGCCCTTGAGTACCAATCTGCGGCTGCTGTCGTGGGGCACGATTTTGGCTCCTCCGTCGCCGCGTACTGTGCTCTCATCCGCCCAGACGTCTTCAAGTCCGTGGTGTTGATAAGCGCACCATTCGCGGGGCCTCCAAAACTCACGCCCGGTGGTGGATCCGCTCTGCCGCTTTTGGATAAAATCGCAGGCGCGTTTGCGGCGCTCGATCCCCCGCGGAAGCACTACACGCTCTATTATTCCACCCCTCAGGCCAATGCGGATTTGATGCACGCACCGGGCGGGCTCCGCGCCTTCATGCGAGAATATCATCACGTCAAGAGCGCAGATTGGGAGGGAAACAACCCGCACGAGTTGGCGCCAGAGGCATCTGCCATGGCGGAGCTGCCTCACTATTATTTGATGCCTCTGCATAAGACTATGCCCGAGGCCGTGCATGGATTTGGGCCATCTGCCGAGGAAATCGCGCGCAACGCGTGGTTGACGGAGGAGGAGTTGGGTGTTTATGTTGCAGAATATAGCCGGACCGGATTTCAAGGGGGCCTCAACGCGTACCGGATGTCGACAAGCGCGAAGTGGTCTTCTGACCGTGAGCTTTTTACCGGGGCACAGATTGAGGTACCTGCCATGTTCCTAGCTGGAAAACAGGTAAGTGTGCGCAAATAATCATTTCCTTGCAATTTTGACTCGTGTGCTCAGGATTGGTGTACGCACCAGTGGCCCGGCGTCGCAACCGCTATGAAGACCAAGGCCTGTAAAAACATGATGGATTTTGTCCTCATTGATGGCGCCGGGCACTGGGTGCAGCAGGAACAAAGTGGCGAGGTGGTCCAGGAGTTGTTGCGTTTCTTGGAAAAATGTCCGAAGTAAGCTGAGTAAATAGTGCTAACGGGAATGCCTTTGTAATCATCAGTATCGGGATCCTGTACATATCGACTGAACAACGACGGAATGAATATTTTCAAAGTGTGATTATCTTGCGCCAGACCGTGAGTGCGCTACTGCACCGGGTGTCTCGCCGGACGAGGTACCGGTCTTCCTCCCCCCCTGCCATCAACAGTGAATGGACTCCGCGCGCGAAGCCGAGCTACAAAAAATGGGTTTGTTCGTGGGTTCAAAATGGGATAGCGGGTTGTTTTAGATCACTCGGCCATAACTGAAATTGGTCAATTCTAGGTACCCTTACGCCCATGGCACGTTGCTCCGTGAGCTTTCATGATCAAGGAGAAATATTTCCTGTCAGCGCATCGGAAGTTGGAAATTCCATCACCCGATTCGCCGAAATGCCTCCAACTTAAGAGTCAACTGGATTCGTTTCAAATCCTCGATGTCGCTGCGTCATGAATCGACCGATCTCTATGCTGGGAATAATGTGTCGTAAAACCTAATGTTTCTCCCAACCAGTCGACTCGGAGAGCGAATTTGAACACAAGTAGGACTCGGATTAGAGCGCATGACCGTATCACACGGCCCTTATGATTGATTTCTTGTCATGTCCGAGAAATCTCCGCAACGGCTTGCTGATGTAGCGGTTACACACTTGCTCCATTTACAAACCCTATAGGTAAATGTTCTGCAGGGGTGCCTTGTTCGAATCGGGGGCAGGCCATGTCTCGGTTGTGACAGGTTTTTTTTTGCTACTCACGTTCGTTGGTTTAAAATGGTTTTAAATTCTGGAAGAAGCTCGAGGCGACAGACAGGGGGCACCAATCTCTGCTTGTGTAGCGATAACGTATCCGCCTACTTTGCTGGTGCATAGATGTCTGTTTGTAGACGTCCCTCGTTTAAATACGAAACTACAGTTCGCGAAATCCATGTTTTTCTTCCTTTCTTTCTGTCGTTTCATTTCAATTCTCTGAGCTTATCTCGTTGATTGTGTCCCGTCTGGCTCTACCGCACAATGCTCTTTCTTCGTATGTAAGTACACATTTTAGAATTATTAAAATGTGCAGGACCAGGTCGTGGTCGTGCAGCTCGGAGGACATTGTTTTGGCCGGTTGGCTACTCGTTCCGTCTTCCGTCTTACTTTACAGCGTGGCATTATTTTTTTGCCCGTCTTTTGGGAGTGCGGGTCGGATTATGTTTGAGTTGAAAAATAGAACAGAGCATATCACCATGTCTTCATGACAGCTTCTATCCATGACCTGCTGGTGTAGTGGTTACACACCTGCGTAAGATCAAGATGAATTCATGGCAAGAGTTAGCGGGAGATTCCTCGTTCGACTCGGGGCCAGGTCCTATAGTTGCACCGAACATCTTTTTTCCTCATCAAGTTGTTTTTGATATTTCGGACTACTAGTGGAAATGACGTGGAAAAGGGGATGGCAAGGAAGAGCTGGTGGTGTAATAGTTACACATTTGCTATATGTTGATTGTCGATGACCAGCTTCTGCAGAGGTTCCCCGTTCGAATCAGGGTCAGGTTATATTGAATAGCGAAAGTCTTTTTTGGGGGGTGGTTGGCTTTTTCTATGGCATTATTCTTCGCTAAAAAATACCACTTCGAAGTCGGAAGTTTTGATGAAGTTTTTAGTCTGAACTCTGAACTTCCGATCATGACTTGATGGCGGCTTGGTGTCCGTTTGGGAGTTGGAAAGTCCGGGATCAAAAGTCCGCCGATCAGGTCTGGCCGGCGCGGCCAGACCTTTGATGTGATCGAAATACGTCGGAGTTTGAAAATTGATCGCATGGGACAACCCATGCAAATCAACGCGTCGCGTCCTGTCGCGTCCTCGCCACGCGTCTTCCCAGGCTTTTCTTCCACAGCTTAGGTCTCGAAGTCAAGATACCCATAACATAAGCTTTAGGACCCAAATGAAGAACCTGGACAAGCGTGAGTTAGTCTGTAGTTAACCGCGCCACCGTGCAAGGGTGGCGGCGGTATTAGTAATCATCGGAGTTTGAATCATGTTCCCACGGCGCTTCCTTTTGCACCGTCAATGCTCTTTCGCTTTCCCTCCCCTTCCTCACTCTATTTCGGCCACTATGGCACCCCGATACCACTGGAGCGACCCCCAGGCGGATCTTCACCCCCACCAATATCGTAATGGACCAGCTCCCGCAAACAGAAGACGGCCTTATCCCTCGCAGCAAAAGCTGATCACCCGCATCCTTCATGGCCAATTGCAGACGCTATGCTGGCCGGCCGCAATCTGGCTCCCGGAGTCCACCACTACAACCCATGGACTGTCATTTTGCGGCGACCCTGAAGGTCTGCGTGACAAGACGGCGAAATCGCCGTGTCCGACATGATCTCGCGCGCAAATATGGGGAACGGTGCGCTAAGCCACGTCGTCCTGGCTGTCTGTAGCTACTAACACTCCGTGTTAAGTCTCCCAACGTTGCTATATGCACAAAAGTCGGCGCGGGCAGGTGAACTTAGCAGGTGCGTATCTCATCCCTCTCTCCGAATAGTTGTACCCGAAGCCCTTGCGCTAGCTCGCCCCACGTTGGCTTTACCCTCCCCGCGCGATGGATCCGTGCCGCGGCGCACACATGTGCCCGCTCTCGTACCGCCCGAGCCCCGGACGTACCTTACGAAGGACTTTTGTGACGAACTTCGTCATCGCGTAGCGCTGCGGTGCACCGTTATGCATCGAATCCGTCCGCGCGCACGCGTTCTCATCGGTTGCGGGGCCATAATACCCGCGCAAGAGATGCTGCGCATGGTGTAGCTCGAGTCCGCTTCTGAAGTACGGTGATACGGTGTGTACACTCTCCCGCCTTTTTTACTGTTGCTGAGACCACAATATTCCCTCGCGCAGCGACACGTACAGCGACACGTACACGCACGCACGTCGCCGCTTCGATTCCCGCCGCGGCGCGGAGTCCTGAATGCACGCTCATTCTCTTGCCCAAACGACATGGGGGCTGAACGACGCGCAGAATTGTGCATCGTGCACACGGTAGACAAGCGCGCGCATGTCCACACTCTCCTCAAGCTGTCAGTGACGCAGCCCGTCGGCGGCGCAACGACTCGAGTCGAGCGCCGAACGGACGCTCACGCAAAAGTACATATCTCCGCCTCCTCCCCTTTATTCCTCTTTCCCGCTCCTTGACTCTGCGGCAGAAAGCCAATGAGATGGGATTTTCGTTTCATCCGATACTTATTGTATGTATCTGCCTTTTTCGATGTTGGTGGTGTTGTATATATATGTAGTACAATCCATTGTCTGCGTCACATACCTCGCTGGGTATCCCCTGAATTGTTTGTGTTCCACCAGCGGTCTTGCGTCGCAAAATATCGAGGACATTGTTCGTTAAGCCTGTACTGGCACGCTTGGATAAATTGCTCCTTTGGAGTCTCGCCCAGTTTACCCAAATCATGTCCGAGTCAATCATAGGCTTCCATTTACGCGTCAATTAGGGCCCTTTGAGCTGCGAGAGTGAGTGGAAACGCGAAAAGACGCGTCGAATAAGCGTGGGAATGTTTTCAAACTCCGATCATTACTAATACCGCGGCGACCGAACATGGCATCGACCTTACTGACAGACTACAACATGCGAGGTACGAGCACAAGTTGTTGTAGTGTCTGTTTAGAAGAGACTAAGCGTGAGTACTGTTAGAGTCCGGCTCAGTTGCTGCATTAGCTTGGCATTAGCCGTGCACATTTACTTAGTGCTTGTATTGCATTGGTTTTACGTTCCTAGTTCCACTTATACCAGAGCCCTGCCTGTGTGGGTAGATCAGATGCGTCAGACAAGTGTGTTGGATTTCAGAAGGGACAATTAGTAGTCTCTTCTAGACAGGCGCTTCAACAAAATCAGCTCGTTCCTCGCTTGTTGAAGACAATTAGTAAATTGAGTACCAAATTCAGACCGGTATATGTAAATCCATGCTGAGGCTTGGTGTATTGGGATACATGATCGACGCACGCTACGACGTTCATAGATGTTGCACAAAAATGCCTTCAAGCAGAATTTGATGGGCAATAGGCCGCCGATCATGCCGCCGGACTTTTGATCCCGGACTTTCCAACTCCCAAACTTTATGGCGGCTTCGGGCGTGCCGATCACCTAAAAAGGACATTCAAGGCGGGGAACCGCAAAAAAAATACAGAGAGGAAAGAAAACACTTTTCTTCGCTGTTAGTAGCCCGGGGTCACTTCCTGAACATAATAGGATGTTTTTAAGTGATGTGATAGGTCTGATTGGATTGTTTTTGTCTTAGTGTCTGTCCATTTTTCTTGAGCCATTTATGGCACTCTCAGCTGGAAAAAGGGGGCAGAGATCTTTTGTTTGGAGACTGATAAACATGCCTTGCCGTCAAGGCGGGTTGAATTTGGTCTGTAGCAGGTTGAAACGGGCGAACCTGCTTCAATGAAATGGGAAATATTGTTCAGATCCCAATTGAAGACATTGTATACCCCGATTTCTATTCAAAAATGTCCACTTGTGTTCATTGAGGTTTCGAGGAAGTGTATGGGCTCAAGACAGGCCTGGAATCTCACTCAAATGTCCTGGACTTCCGTTATCATGGTCAATTGTTCGGGGGAAAATACAATTCAGATAGAAATCACTGTATTTCCAGCCCAGTGTCTATTGAAAGATCGGATCCGCCATTGCAACTGAAGTTAGGGAGAGCAGGAATGCATGTTGGAAAGTTTCAAGGCGTGCGAACTTCCGACGGCCGTGATGCCGTGATGATGCCATCAATTACTCTTCGAACTACGAACTACGAACGTTCAGAAGTTTGTTGTAAAAACTTTGGACTTGACCAAAAGTACAGGCTACGGAGTTGGGCATGGCCAAAATCTGGAGACTTCCCCCTTCAATCCAGATTAATTTGCGAAGATCTGTCTCATATTTTTCTTGCTGACATTCACCATTTTCCAGCTCCTTTCTTTTTCCGTTCGTAAGTACAAGATTCATGGTTGAAGCACATGATCTATCTCATCACAGCTTTCTCGTGTCTATGGCTTTAAATCAATGACTTGCTGGTGTAAAGGTTACACGCTTGCCCATCTTAACTCTATGATGATGAAAGTATGAGCAGGAGGAGGAGGAGGAGGAGTGTATTAACCGCGGTGGTCCCTACAAGGAACGTACGGCTGCTGTACCGACATACATCAAGCCCAAAATGTATGCTACAGCCATTCTGCCGCCCGAACGATACAACAGAACTAACATTGAGAACTTCTCACGAACCGGACCGTCGCAGACGGGACTTGGGAATAGGGAACCATGGTGTAACTTCATTGTCGTCCAGGCAAGTATCCCGGTCTAATGAAGCGACGCGAGCCACCGTAGGTCAGCCCTCAATTTCACGGGAAGAGCAGGAGGCTTGCGCTCATGTTGTTGTGAACGCAGCGTTAATTGCTCGTCTAACTGTGTGGACTTGGTGAAAATTTGATTCAATGGAGATTGTACTCAGTGGAAGGCCTATGCCAACGTGTTTGTGTTGCCTCAAACTGACGAGCTCGAGTTTTCACGGAATTTTCATCCCGGCGCGCTACAACACGCTTGTTCTCGGCGCAAAACCAGAAAAAGATGGCGAAGTTCCCTTGGGTTGCGAGGTATGTAGGCTCGAACCCAGAAGACGCACGCACACTTGATGTACAAAAAGGTTTCAGTGCCCAGGGAGCTTGTGTTCGAACTTCGTTCGGGACTTCGTCGTGTGCCGAGGGACCATTAGCATTATAGGGGTCGATCAAGCATCGTTGCTCGTTGCCCGAGATGGCCCGAAGGTCATAGCCGAAATCCCGATCGTCTTGCAAGGTAGCGGGAAAAGACGTCGAAGCGCATGTAGGAACTTGCCACCAGTCGCGGTACCCGCTGGCATGTGAGATGCGGTCTTTCCCGAGCATTCCGCGAAGATGATAGAATAGGGGTGCGGTGGGTGTAGTGTTGCAAAAGAAGGGGTTAATAAGGGTTCTGGCAGAAGTTAAGGCCTTAGAATGAGATAAGGGTTATTAAGGGTGTCCATTATAAGGGCAAAATAAGGGTTATTTTAGCAGGAAGAAATCTCAACATTGTACGGCGGTAGATGTATCCGAACGTACTCGAAATATTTTCCCTCGACCCTTCGAGTCCTTACTGTACTACAAGTAAGTCAGAGCCATTGGAATGAGCTTTTCCACGGTCAGAAGGACCCATATCTTGCCCAGGGATGGAGAAATTGGTGCAAAATTGATGTGGTTGCGAAGTCGGGACATGGAATGCTGGATGTCGGAGCTAGCCATTGTCATTCTTTCCTGGCTGATTGTTGCGGCAAGGGCCCAAGTGACCCGGCGTTCTCGGCTTCCCAGTACCTAAGGGTTATAAAGCCCTTATAATCATCTCAGGGTCATGTTAAGGGCTTACCTTAATATTTAAATAAGCCCTTATCATTGATAACCCTTAACATTATTTTGCAACACTGGGTGGGTGGTGGTCGGTGTCCGACCGCGTTACACGTTCTGTGCGGTGTTGGTTGCTACTGCTAAGTTCGCTGGGCCGTTTAGCGGTCCGCAGCTTTCTCTCTCGCAGGTTGGCACGCCGTATAATCGAGTTTTCGATTTTGATCATAGTGGTGAAAGGAGGACATTAGGAGAGGAGATCCCTCGTTCGAATCGGGGGCAGGTCATAAAGAACAACAACAACAACAACCACAACCACCACCATCTCCGGTGGGCGGTAGTCGTTCCGGCCGCAGCGAGTGTCGGGCACTCGCTTTCCGTCGACAGTTCATCTGCCCAGAACCGTCCACTACACTGGACGAGGTTTCGGCGCCGTAACACCACCAGCATGACTGATATCGACTCGACCAGCCCCCATCCCCGTATACCACCATTCAGAGGCAGACAACGCACCTCCGACTCACCGTTACCTCGTTTTAACCCCCGCGCCGCCAAGTTTTATGCCATGCGCTCGCGACTGCCCCCGCTCACTTCGCCCGCGGCTTGCGCTCGTTACCGGCTAGGCAGGGAAAATGCGACACGCATAGCAGCAGCAGCACGTCTTGACATCCAGCTGAACCGCATTGTTACATTACTCGACACCCTCCTTGCCCTACCCCACACCCTCGCCGCCGTCATCCACACGCCTGACTGCGCATCCAGCCCTAGCTGCGATCCCGTGCCGTCCGCCCACTTCCGCCCACTACCACCACGCACACCTTCACCACGCACACCTCTGAATCCCTTTCCGCATTCTTTGACCCCGCCGCCGTTATCCTACGCGCCGCCCTCGACCTCACCGAGCTTTTCCGTGGATGATTGCATCACTCGATCACCTGATACTATCCAGTCACGAGACGCCGATGGCGAACGGTTTAAATCCCGGAGAAATAAATGGCGAGAAAACCACATCGATACACCCTACGACCCGCCGTGGTAGATTGATAGTCTACCTCAGTCTTGTATTTAGACGGAGGCGCGGTATACAAATGTAAACATGTAAACATTGAGCAGTCTTTTTGTTACCAGTGTTCGCCCTAAGGCTTAAGGCCTTAAGGGTTTTAACCCTTATTAAGGCCTTAAGCTAAGCCTTAAGGATTCTCAGGAATTTTTGGGGCCTTAATTAAGGCCTTAACCCTCTCGCCCGAGATGGCCGAGCACCGTCAGAGCACCCAATGGACCCATGTTCAAGCAGAAAAAGACAGACATCAAGCACAATATGAGCCAAACGGGTAGATGCGTATATATAATGGCCAGAATTAAGCTCAAAATTTGCTCAGCGGCGGGTCCCCCGGCTTACTGACCGTGGGAAATTGTCGCTTAAGGCCTTAGCTGAAGGCCTTAACGTTAAGCCTTAACCCTTAATAAGGCTTAACGATTTTCGAAACCTCAATTAAGGCCTTAAGGGCGAACACTGTTTGTTACTCATCGAGCTAAGTAGATGGGTTCAGTTCGAGATATGTGACGTGAGTGAGGAAGACCTGGTGGTGTAGTGGTTACATGCCTGCTGAGCTTGGTCAAAAGTGTACCAATCTATCCAGGGGCTCCGTCGTTCGAATCGGGGCCAGGTCATCTCTGTTGATCCATGCGATTTTTTGTTTTCTTTTTGCTTGGTAGACTAGCGAAGATAAGGAAAGGCCTGGTGGTGTAGTGGTTACACATCTGCTCTCAATTCGCGTACTGAGAAGAGGCTATGCAGAGGTTCCTCGTTCGAATTGGGGCCAGGTCGTCGCGCTTGATCCATGCGATTTTTATTTTGTTTTTGGTTGGTACACATCTCGACTTGGTGCGAACGAAGCAAGCAAGGACGGAATGGATATCGCAGAGGATAAGGAAGACCTGGTGGTGTATTGGTTACACATCTGCTTCAAATACCGAGTTTTCAACACGTTGTGCAGAGGTTCCTCGTTCGAATCGAGGCTGGGTCGTGCGCCAGAGTGCTCTCTTTAAATTTTTGATTTGTCTTTCAGACTCTTTTTTCTTGATGGTGACTTTCCTCACCTGTTCGCGCTACCGATCCCGCCACCGCCCTTCATTCAGTTTTTGTGTGGAATTCATATGCGGGGCGGGGCGCGTCAGATGCGCTGATTCGATGAGCGCGCTGATTTCGGGAAGGTACGGGAGATAAGATCAGGATAAGAGATAAGAGATAAGAGAGAAAGCTGACGTGAGCGTTTGCGCGTGTTGACTCGTGCAGTGCCACTGATTCATTCAATTTCAGCCGAAAGCCGAAGCGCGTTTTGGCTGCAGCGCGCGTCTAACTGCGTCTAACTCGACCTCGTCCTGCACCCTCTCTGGCATTCGCGCTCAGCACTCCCCATCTGCGTTGTGGTTTCGAGATTCAAGGCTCGAGGACCCCGAGCAAAGGAAGCAAGCGGCGAGTGCAAGACTCCGAGAAGAAGAGAGAGGACGAGAAGAAGAGACGAGAGGAGGACGAGACGAGACAAGAACAGTACCAGGACGAGACGAGAGACCGAGAAGGACGAAAAGGATAGACGGGATTGAGAGGCATACAGGTGTGCTATACCAGTGCGGGCTAGGCGCGCCGATGCTGATTCCTTGCCTTGTGTCTAGCCACCGTGAAGACGACATGGGCAAGAAGCGGCAGACGCAGCGGACGACGGGACAGCCCAACGGGGTCGAGAAACAAAAGGAGCTCAACGGGGACGCAGACGCAGACGCAGACATCGACGCGGACGGGCTGGGGCTGACGGCCGCGGCGCTGGCGGCGACGAACGAGCTGCTCGCGACGGCGAAGGAGCTGTATCGCACGCTCGGGGGCGGGTCGGAGGACGGGGACGCGGGGCTGGATGACGACTCGGACGGCGAGGACGGCGACGAGAAGGGCAACGCCGCGTACTGGCGCGCATTATCCCAAGGCCCGGGCGGACTCGGGGACACGGAGTTTGCGTCGCGGGTGCGGGAGGTGGCCGAGGCGCTCGTGCCAGCCGCTGCGTCGCTCAAGGGCAAAGCACCAGGTGAATATTCTCATTTAATATTTATTTAAAGGGAATTGAAACTCCGCGATCAAAAGCTGACCAATACTTTTCAGCGTTGTCGTCGTCGCTCGTGCCCAGCAGTCAAAGCGCACACCCGCTGCAGAAAGAGAAAGACATGGCCCCGCCGCCGCCGCCGCCGCCGTCGAGCGTTTCGATTGGCAAGAAGCCCATGGCGTACCAGCAGGCCTCACCCAATCCCCCCCGCAGCGCCCGCGCCGCCGCAAAGGCACCCGTCCCCGCCCCGCCGCCGCCTGACCCCGGCAAGGGCAAGGGAGCCGCCAATGCCAACCCCGCCGCCGCGCACCCCGGCAACAGCGCGGGCGCGGGCGCGGGCGGGAACAACAAGATATGGAGCACGAGCAGCAGCGAGGAGCGCGAGCGCATCCGCGACTTTTGGCTCGCGCTGGCGGAGGAGGAGAGGAGGGATCTGGTGAGGGTGGAGAAGGACACGGTGTTAAGGAAGATGAAGGAGGAGCAGAAGCATAGCTGTTCGTGTGCGGTGTGTGGGAGGAAGCGGTGGGTCGTTTTTTCTGAAGATGTCTTACATCTGTCTCTGTCTCTTTTACTTCCCTGCCTACCCTCCCACCCTCCCTGACCGTTCACCCTTATGTGCCCTCCCCCTCCGCTCCCCTTCACCCCACCCCGCCTTTGACCATCCCCAATTGTCTTTCATCCTCACAAAGACCCCAACTGATCCCCCGATCCCCAGCACCGCCATCGAAGACGAGCTCCAAGTCCTCTACGACGCGTACTACGAAGACCTCGAGCAGTACGCGCTCTACCAACAACAATACCTCTCCTCCAACCGCACCCTCCCCCCGCCGCCCGGCCCCGGGCCCTTCCCCGGCTCCGTCGAGGTCGACCGCTACGGCGCCGTCGTTGCGGGGTACCCGCCGCCCTCCCTCTCCTCCAATCCCCCTACCCATAATCAGACGAATGGGGTTAATGGTGGGGGAGGAGGAGGGGTAGGGAAAGGAAAAAACCGGCGCGGCAGGCGGAGACGTAAAGGCTTGGGCCCGGGCGCGCCCCGCGCGCCGCCGAACCAAGATGAGGACCCCGACGACGTGTACGAGGAGCCCGAGCCCGATGACGAGGATCCCGATGCCGACGACGACCCTGATGCCGAAGATCCCGACGAGGACGACGATGATCTAGATGAGGCGGAAGGGGATGGGGGGCGGCCGCCGGCGGTGCCGCAGCGCGTGCCGGCGCCGGCTGTGCGGGGCGCGGCGCGCGGTAGGGGCGGGGCGCCGGGGGTTGGTGCGGGAGGGGGGAGAGGTGGTGGTGGGGGGCGGGGCGCGGTGGATATGAAGGGCAAGATCGCGGCGGGGGTGGGGGCGGGGGTTGGTGGTGAGTGCTTTTCCTGCCGTTTCTCACTCGTTTTTTTTCTCGGATTTTTTTCACCGCGGTTCCTACCTTCGCGCCGGTGGTCGATGACCGCCTCGTCCCCGTCGCGCAACGCCTAGCCACGTGTTTTTGCTCTTTCCTCCCGAGTCCCTGTCTGCCACGTGGACTCGGGGTGGGGCGGGATATCCCGATTACACTTTGGGATTTTTCGGCCTCGGGCGCTGGCGTCTTACGATCTTCGTTTGGTCGCGATTTCGATCCGCGACCCGTGGGGCAGTGTGCGGGGCGGTGGTAGACGTGACCGCGTCGCGGGTTCCCCGCTGGGGGGATCCTGTTGACGCGCCTCCGCCTCCGCTTTCTTGCTCTTTCGAAGAACGCTTTTTTCATTTTTTGATTTGTTCTACATCCTCCCTCTCTATCGCCCGTCTATTCGCCTCGCTGCGCGCTCTCTTCTTTTATGCGACTCGCTGCCCGCTCACTTCTTTTATTGGACTCGCCTTCTTTTATTGGACTCGCTAACGCTCGTCTAGGCCCCACCTCGATTCTGACCGTCGCGGACGACCTGCTCAAGAACGACGGGCGCAAGTTTTTGGAGATGATGGAGCAGTTGGTGCGTCGAGTTTCTATTTTATTTGCTTCCGGGGCGACTTCTCTGTCCTTCGATCTGTTTCGATGCTTCCATCTGTTACTTGGTGGACTTGCGATTTTGCTGCTTCTGCTTCCTTGCCTGTGGTTTGTCGCGGACTTGCGATGCGATCTTTGGGGAGGACGCGCTTCGATTTGGATTTTCGGAGCGGGACGGCTTGCGCCGCGCGTTTGCTTCCGTTCGTTTGCTTCCGTTCGTGTTGCGATCGCTGGAGCACGCGCTTCTGGCGCGCTCTGAAGATCCGGTTCCTGGTCGGGATGCGCTACTCGATCTGGCATCGGTTTGCGCTTTGTGGTCCAGGATTTTGGGTTCCTTTGGACTTGTGCTGGCGAGCGGGGCAACGAGTTTGGTCTGCCTGCTCTCTCTCTCTCGGTGATGGTCGCGTTTTTCGGCGTGTCTGTGACTGTTCCCTGCTTTGGCTTCCTTTTCTCGGTGACTGTGGATACATATGCACCCAAGCCGCGTTTCCTCTTTTCATTTCCCCCTCTTTTAACACTCGACGAAAATCGTGACCGCTTACTGCCTGATTATTTTTCTTTTCAGGCTGAACGCCGGTTGGCGCGCGAGGAGGAGGCGGCGGGGGGTGTTAGTGGGGATGAGGTGTGTTTTCGCTCTTTCTTATACGTCTTTTCTCTGCACGGCGCGTCTTTTTTTGGCGGGATGCGGGTCTTGGTCTGGACGCGCCGCGTTTTTTTTTCGCAAGGGAGAAGCTCCTTCGCCGTACACGCCGCGAGACCGTACGCCCTGCATCTTTCTGTGCGAGAGTGACTGGGGAGCTCGACCTCAGTGGCTCGACCTAGGCTGATGAGCCGACCCGACTTGGGAACGGAGCGAGCGTTGGGACGTTAGCACGAACGCGGCCGGGTGGTACGCGGCGTCATAAGCCGTCTCCCGTCCCCATTCTTCCTCGCCATTTTTCCTTCCCTCCCTCCCTCCCTCTTCTTCTCTCCTTCCGTTTACCCTCCTCTCTCTCCTTCCACCCCTCCCTCCCCTCTCCCTCATCCTCCCTCTTCCCCTCTTCACCTCTAACCGTAACAAAAACACACACTAACCTGTCTTTCCCTTCCCTTAGGACGACTCGGCCTCGTCCGCTGCCTCGCTCGACGGGGACGGCTCGTCGGACGGGGAGGGCGACGACGAGAGCGAGGGGGAGGAGGAGGAGGAGAGTGGGGAGAGTGGGTTAGTGCTTTCGTCTCGTCATATCTGTTTTCTTCCTTCGTCCTGCCTTCTACCTTTCGGTTTTTTTGGGGGCGGGTACCGAGCTGCGGGCATCGAGCTCGAACGGCATCCCGTGTTTTGGGAGGGACGAGAGCATTTGCATCTGAATCACCCGCTGTGACACTGAGCTGACGCGTTTTTTTTTTTTTTTTTGCCTACAGGGACGACGACGGGGATAGCGGGGACGAGGAGGAGGATGAGGACGATGGGGGCGAGGAGGTGGGTTTTTCCTCCTTGTTTTGATTTTATCGGATGGGCGGGATCTGCTTTGCGGAGACGATGGTTTCTCGGGATGTATCGCAGACGAGGGAACTCGTGCTCTGCAGTCCTTCTCCGCCATTCCACTTGCGTTCTCCTGTCCATTTTTCAAAAGCCGGTGCTAACAATTCTCAGCAGGTCATGACGGAGGAACAAAAAATGGAGGAGGGCAAGCGCATGTTCAGCATCTTCGCCGCGCGCATGTTCGAGCAGCGTGTCCTGCAGGTGCGTGTTTCCCTCCTCTCTTTCTTTAATGCCTAC